GCACCTTGAGGACATCATGCTCAGTGAAATAAGCCTGACACAAAAGGACTCACAGGAAGTCCCTAGAACTGTCAGATTCACAGAGTCAGAAAGTAGAATGGTGGGTTCCAGGGACTGAGGGGAATGGGGAGTGAGAGTTTTATGGGGACAGAGTTTCAGTGGGAGAAAATGAGAAAGTTCTGGAGATGACGATGGTGATAGTTGCAAAACAATGCAAGTGTTCTTAATGCCACTGAACTGCACACTTAAAAATGGTTCAAATGGTATTTTTCTGGAGACAAAAAAAAAAGTCTCACTCTATCCCTCAGGTTGGAGTGCAGCGGATCTCGGCTCACTGCAGCCTTTGCCTCCCGGGTTCAAGTGAGTCTCATGCCTCAGCCTCCCGAATAGCTGGGATTACAGGCACGCACCATCACGCCAGCTAATTTCTGTATTTTTAGTAGAGACAGTTTCACCATGTTGGCTAGGCTGGTCTCGAACTCCTGATCCACCCACCTCGGCCTCCCAAAGTGCTGGGATTACAGGCATGAGCCACCGCGCATGGCTAGAAAGGTAAATTTTATGTTGCATATATTTAACCATCATTTTAAAAAATGGATAACGGTTTAATAAAAATTTTAAAGTGTCATTCTTTAAAAAAAAAAAAAAGATGTTTTTGAGGGCAGGATTCCTGGGGAGTTGGAGGTGTGTGGGAGGAGGAAGAGGGGAGGATGGAGGAATGGATGTAAGGAAAAGAGCTATAGGGGAGGGGAGGGGTGGGAAGAAGCAGACCCAGGTGGATGGGTGCCCAGGGATGGAGCAGGAACTGCTCACTCACCAAGGGGCTTCCGCGTGTGGATGTCAATGAGGAATCCCGGGGCCTGGTTTCCGCATAGAATCTGGTAGTCAGCTGCGCAAAGGGGAACAAAGTTGAGTCTGCGGCTGCAGGCCTGACCCCAACCTGCTCTCCATCTGGAGGGGACACTTCATCCCTGGAGCCCAGCTCTCAACTGGCTACCTTGAACTTTTTTTGCTCTCCCCACCCTTTCCCTCCTTCCACTTATTTAATTTAATTTAATTTAATTTTTTTGAGACCAAGTCTCACTCTGTCACCCAGATTGGAGTGCACCAGTGCAATCACGGCTCACTGCAGCCTCAACCTCTCAGGCTCAGGTGACCCTCCCACCTTAGCCTCCCAAGTAGCTGGAATTACAGGCATGAGCCACAATGTCTGGTTTTTAAAGCCACCTAGTTTGCAGTAATGTTTTGCAGCAGCTCTGGGAAATGAATACGGAAATGAATAAACCCCTAGAAGCCCCCTTCCCATCACTGCCCCATTCCTGCAGCTCTTCCTGGTGCCTGGGCTGGCTGCTAGATCATTCCGACAGGACTCATTCCTGCTGTCAATACACTCTGTTCAGTCCTGCCTCCAGGCCTTGGCTCCTGTTGTGCCCCTGCCTAGAATACCTTCCCTCATCCTGACCGATGTTCCCATCAGGGTCCCAATCCTGGCTCTGAGTTTCTCCAGGTCTGCCCCTTCCCCAGCGCAGGAGGTCTATGGTCTCTCTAACCAGCTGTGCTTTCCTCCCCAGCCTGGGACATTTACCGACCCCCTCCCACCCTATCCCACCCCCAGCTACTCCTGTGAATCATCAAGGGCCTTCCCTACCCATGAAAACTCCATTGATCCATCCTGAATTCTCAAAATCTGCAAAATGGAAGAAAAGCTACCTTGCTCACTTTAAAGTATTGCCTTCTATACATGGGAACCGACACAGTTTGGCTGCGTCCCTACCTAAATCTCAACTTGAACTGTAGCTCCCATATCCCCACATGTCATGGGAGGGACCCGGTGGGAGGTAATTGAGTCATGGGGGCGGGTCTTTCCCGTGTTATTCTCGTGATAGTGAATGAGTCTCGTGAGATCTGATAGTTTTATAAAGGGCAGTTCCCCTGCACATGCTCTCTTGCCTGCCACCATGTGAGACGGGCTTTTGCTCCTCCTTCACCTTCTGCCATGATTGTGAGGCCTTCGCAGCCATGTGGAACTGTGAGTCCTTTAAACCTCCTTTTTTTTTTTTTTTTCTGTTCTGAGATAGAGTCTTGCTCTGTCACCCAGGCTGGAGTGCACTGGTGTGATAGCGGCTCACTGCAATCCCCACCTCCCAGGTTCAAGCAATTCTCTTGCCTCAGCCTCCCAAGTAGCGGGAATTATGGGCCTGCATCACTACGCCCAGATAATTTTTTTTTGTATTTTTAGTAGAGACAGATTTTCACCATGTTGGCCAGGCTGGTCTCGAATGCCTGACCTCGAGTGATCCACCCGCCTTGGCCTCCCAAACTGTTGGGATTACAGGCGTGAGCCATCACGCCCAGCCAAACCTCTTTTTCTTTATAAATTACCCAGTATCCAGGATTTCTTCGCAGCAGTATGAGAATGGACTAATAGGGAGACAGAACTTCAACTCTCTGGCTCTCATCAGAACAAGGAGAATTAATCTAAGAGCCCTAAGGGCACTGTGTTTCCTTAACCATTATGCTACGAGGGGCCAGGCTGGGAAGAAGGTTGAGGAGGGTTACTCACGGCTGGTGGGAGTGGGGCAGGCCTCACAGGGTCTATTCCAGGCCTGGCCAATGTTGTAGGAGCAGCAACACATTTTTCGGGTCACGTTGAAGGCCAGTTCATTTTGACATGTGCCGTTATAGTGCCGGAAGCAGACACTCTTCCTCATATCTGTAGTTGGCATAAAGGAGAAGAATATGGGTAATGGTCACCTAAATCAGTGGAAGAGGGAGCCAAAGAGATGGGAACTCGTTAACTCATTCATTTGAAGATTACTGGCTTGGCCAGCCACAGTGGCTCATGCCTGTAATCCCAGAACTTTGGGAGGCTGAGGCGGGCAGATCACTTGAGTTCAGGAGTTCAAGACCAGCCTGGCCAACATGGCGAAACCCTGTCTCTGCTAAAAATACAAAAACTAGCTGGGTGTAGTGGCACACGCCTGTAATCCCAGTTACTTGGGAGGCTGAGGCAGGAGAATTGCTTGAACCTCAGAGGTAGAGGTTGTAGTGAGCCGAGATTGTGCCACTGTACTCCAGCCGGCGCAACACAGTGAGACTCTATCTCCAAAAAAAAAAGAGGGGGATTACTGCCTGGCTTGATTGGCTTGATGTCTCTCCCCCAACACACTTGGGGGATCTATTCATTTTTTTCAGCCTTTTTTGAGCAGTGCATAACCTGAGCAACTGTTCATGGCAGCTCCGGGCTCCTGAATCCTGCGGTTTTGTTTGCTGCCACATATCAGCACATCATATATGCTTATCCTCCCTGTCCATAGGCTTGAAGGCTCCCAGCAGTTCCTCCCATGCCCAGGTGCTGCTTCTGTGACTGCCATTTCCCTAGGTCATCATGCTTCTTACCCATGCAGTTGTTGCCACCATTGACTTGGAGGTATTCTGCAGGGCAGACACAGGTGTAGTTTCCCAGGGTATTGTAGCAGGTGCCAGGGCCACAGATGCCCGAGTGTGTGGAGCATTCATCAATATCTGCAGGGAAAGGAGGAGTGGAGGGGAACAGTGGGCAGCATCCAGGAATTGTCTGAATAACTCCCCTCCAGAGACCCAGCAAGGCCACTTCACTAGGGACCTAAGTTTGGTTTCAAAATCAGCCTAAAACGCACACACATCTTAGTGATGAAGAAAACTGTAATATGGGCCAGGCATAGTGGCTCATGTCTGTAATCTGAGCACTTTGTGACGCTGAGATGGGAGGATCATTTCAGCCCAGAGTTCGAGACCAGTCTGGGCAACATAGCAAGACCCCATCTCTACTAAAAATTTTAAAAAATTAGCTGGGCATGGTGGTGCATGTCTGCAGTCCCAGCCACTTGGGAGGATCACTTGAGTCCAGGAAGTTAAGGTTGCAGTGAGCTGTGATCACACCTCTGCACTCCAGCCTGGGTGCAGAATGAGATCCTGGCTCTAAAACACAAATAAACAAAAACCCACAAACAAACAAAAACAACATGATGTTAAGGGGAAAAAAAAAAGTTTACAAGCTGGATGCAGTTGTTCATGCCTATCATCCCTGCTTTGGGAGGCCAAGGCAGGAGGATCATTTGAGGCCAAGAGTTTGAGACCAGCCTGGGCAACATAGTGAGGTCCCATCTCTACAAAAAATGAAAATTTAGCTGGGCATGGTGACATACACCTGTGGTCCCAGCTACTTGAGAGGCAGAGGTAGGAGGATCACCTGAGTCCAGGAGGTCAAGACTACAGTGAGCTGTGATTATACCACTGCACTCCAGCCTGGACAACAGAGTGAGACACTGGCTCTAAAAAATAAAAAAATAAAAAAAAAATTCATAAAAATAAAGTTGACGATGATACTGCTTCTATTAGGAACAAAATGACCTGAGTTCACGAGTCAGTTTTGTAATCACCAAGAACGGATCATCCACGTCTTCCCAATATGATATGATAGGAATCAAGAACCTTATGGATAAAGTATTCTCAGGGGAAAAAAATTGATTCTCAATCTGATCATTACTCTAGTCCAGTAAGCTTTTTCTGTAAAGAGCCAGATTGTTTTGGTTTTGCAGACCAAACTACAGTGTGTCATGATTATTCAATCTGCTAATGTAGTAAGAAAAGCAGACACAAACAATATGCAAACACACTGTGGCACTGGTTGTGCTCCAAGGAAATTTTATTTATGGACCCCTGAAATTTGAATTTTATACAACTTTCTCCTTCTCTCCTTCCTTCCTTCCTTCTTTCTTTCCTTCCTTCCTTCCTTCCTTCCTTCCTCTTTCTCTCTCTCCTTTTTTTTTTTTTTTTGCGTCAGAGTCTCACCCTGTTGCCCAGGCTGGAGTGCAATGGCCTCATCTCGGCTCACCGCAAGCTCCACCTCCAAGGTTCAAGTGATTCTTCTGCCTCAGCCTCCCGAGTAGCTGGGACTATAGGCGTGTGCCAGCATGCGCAGCTAATTTTTGTATTTTTGGTAGAGATGGGGTTTCACTATGTCGGCTAGGCTGGTCTCAAACTCCTGACCTTGTGATCTGCCCACCTCGGCCTCTCAAAGTGCTGAGATTACAAGCGTGAGCCACCGTGCCCAGCCTTTTTCTTTTTTTTTTTTTTTAAGACAGGGTCTTGTTCTGTCACCCAGGCTAGAGTGCAGTGGCATAATCACAGCTCACTGCAGCCTCAACTTCCGAGGCTCACGTGATCCTCCTGCCTCAGCTTCCCAAGTAACTGGGATTACAGGCATGAGTCACCATGCGTGGCTAACTTTTTAATTTTTTGTAGAGACAAGGTCTTGCCAGGTTGCCCAGGTTTGTCTTGAACTCCTGGCCTCAAGCAATCCTCCCACTTCAGCCTCCCAAACTACTGGGATTACCAGTGTGAGCTGCCACGCACCCAACCTTGAATTTCATATAATTTTCATGTGTCAAAAAATGTTATTCTTCTTTTGTTTTTTTCAACCGCCGAAAAAAGTGTAATAAAGTATTCTTAGCTAGCAGGCAAAAATAGGTTGTGGAATATTAGCATGCTAAGAGTGATGTCACCAAAAATAGCAGAGTAGGGAACTCCAGGGCTCCATTCCTCCACAAAAGTAACTATTGAGCTGGCAAAACAGACAAAAATCAACTTTTGCAGAACTCTGGAATCCAGTCAAAAGCTTACAACACCCAGACAAAGAAATGGTGAAGAAAGAAGCTGCTGTACTTTGTAAGGGAGTGTCATGGCGTTTTTAAGGGCCTGCCTACCATCCCTCACGCCACAGATCCACAGCAGCCATGAACATCTTAAAAGCAGCAAGAGGGAACTGACAGATCATGACAAAAGAGGAGGCAGGGGGCAGAAGCCTTTCTATGAGGCCTTCCCTCCTCGACCCTTGTGAGGCTTGGCAGGGCACGAAGGCAGGGAGAGAGCGGAAGAGCCTGACCCACCCCAAAAAGAGTCCATGCTCACCCTCACAGATGCGGGTGTGCTCACTGAGGTGGTAGCCAGGTGGGCACTCACACTGGAAACTGCCAAAGGTGTTGATGCAGTCACCCCCCTGACACAGCCCTGGCAGCTCTTGGCACTCGTCGATGTCTGTCAGGAAGTAAGGAAGCCATGTTTGGGAGCTAAACCCATGCAGAGGACTTAAGGGGCACCCACGCTAAGCTCTGGGTTTTCCAAGGCCCTCTCGAGGATCCCCAAGAGCTGTCCATGACTGATAGACATTCGAAGGGTCTATCTTGACGGCTGGACACAGACTCTCTTGAGTTAATGTTACCCTAAATTCAACTCCATTCCCTTCATCTGTTAATCCATTCTCCCATCCACCACATAGTTTCCTCTAGATAGAGAACTAGATAGTTTTCTTCCTCTAGATGGAGAATAGATAGTCTTCTCCAACCTCGTCACTCCCTAACAAAAGGATGGATAGGAGGATGGATGAATGGATGGATGAGCGGATAGATGCATGGATATGAAAACAGTGAATGGGTAAGTGGAACAAGGGGCAAATGTAAGGGTGATTGAGTAGTTGAGGTTGTGTATAGATCGAAAGAGGAGTGGTTGTGGAGGAGAGTGGATGGATAGGAGGTGTATGGTACGTGGAAGTGGATGGGTGGAGCGTAAGGATAATGATGGATAGTAAGTGGGTGTGGATGGATAGGTGGGTGTGTGGTTATTAGGCGGTAAAGTGTGGTAGCTGGGTATGGTGATGGTGGATGTGGATAGGAGTGGGATTGAGTAGGATTGAGGTGGTGAAGTGGTGTGTGATGGGTAGCGGTGTTTTTAGGTGTGTGAGGCGTTAGGGTAAGCGTTGATGGTGGAAGGTGTGATGGGTAGGAAGTGGCAATGGTAGGAAGGGGATGGTAGTGAAGGTGGATGATAGGAAGGTGGATGGGTAGGGAAGGTGGATGCGTAGGAAGGTGGATGGGTAGGAAGGTGGAATGGGTACGGAAAGCTGGAATGGGTCGGAAGGTGGATGGATAGGAAGGTGGATGGATAGGAAGGTGGATGGGTAGAAAGGTGGATGGGTAGGAAGGTGGATGGATAGGAAGGTGGGTGGATAGGAAGGTGGATGGATAGGAAGGTGGATGGATAGGAAGGTGGATGGATAAGAAGGTGGATGGGTAGGAAGGTGGATGGATAGGAAGGTAGATGGGTAGGAAGATGGATGGGTAGGAAGGTGAATGGATAGGAAGGTGGATGGATAGGAAGGTGGATGGATAGGTGAGTAGATAGATAAAAGAGTGAATGGGTGGGTGGGTGGATGGATGGATGGATGGATGGATGATAGATGGATGGAGGATGGGGGACGAATGGATGAACAGATGGGAGATAGAAGATGGATGGAAGGGTGGATGAATGGAGGGATAGAATGGGTGGATGGGAAATGGGTGGATGGATGAGTGGATAGATGGATGTATTGAGGATGGATGGGTGAATGGGGGATAGATGGATGGGTGAGTAGATGGATAGAAGAATGAGAGATAGGTGGGTGGGAGATGGATGGATGGAAGAGTGGGAAATAGGTTAATGGATGGATGAATGGGGGCTAGCTGAAGGATGGGGATGGATGGATGGGCGAATGGATGCATACAAGGATAGCAGAGGGATGAGTGATGAATGGATGAATGGGTGGATGGAGCACGGTTGGATGGAAGGATGAAGGGATGGATGGAAGGATGGACGAACGGAAGGATGGATGAATGGGTAGATAAAAGATAGTTGGATGGAAGGATGGAAGGAAGGATAGATGAATGGGTAGATGGAGGAGGTTGGATGGGTAGAAAGATGAATGGATGGAAGGATGAGTGGAAGGATGGATGAATGGATGGATGGTCGGGTGGAAGGATGGATGGATGGATGGATGGATGGAAGGATGGGTGGATGGAAGGATGAATGGACAGAAAGATTGGGGATGGATGAAAGAATGGGGTACAGATGAAGGAGAGGGGATGAATGGGAAACCAGATGGATGGATAAAAGGATAGGAGAGGGATGAGTGAGGGATGGATGAATGGGTAGATGGAGCATGGTTGAATGGAAGTGTGGAAGGAAGAATGGATGAATGGGTACATGGAGGATGACTGGATGGAAGGATGTATGTATGGATGGATGGATGGAAAAAATGGGCAGAAGGATGGATGGATGGATAGATGGATGAATGGATGGATGGAAGGATGGATGGATGGATGGATGGATGGATGGATGGATGGATGGAAGGAAGGATGGAAGGAAGGAAGGATGGATGGATGGAAGGATGGATGGATGGATGGATGGATGGATGAATGGGTAGATGGAGCATGGTTGAATGGAAGTGTGGAAGGAAGAATGGATGAATGGGTACATGGAGGATGACTGGATGGAAGGATGTATGTATGGATGGATGGATGGAAAAAATGGGCAGAAGGAAGGATGGATGGATGGATGGATGGATGGATGGATGGATGGATGGATGGATGGAAGGAAGGATGGAAGGAAAGAAGGATGGATGGATGGATGGATGGATGGATGGATGCATGGAAGGATGGGTGGAAGGATGGGTGGATGGAAGGATAAATGGATGGAAGGATGGAGGATGAATGGAAAGATGGGGGACAAATGAAAAGATCAATATACCAACAAGTGGAAGAAATGGCTGAAAGAACAGATTAAAAAAATTCAACACAAACTAAAAGCATAGTGTGGTCCTGCTGCCCAGCCTCCAGGTGTAAAGATTTGCCCCATCCCAGGACAAAACTGCACTTTGGTGAGATGGGGATGAGAGAAAAGTCAGTCTTTAGGCAGACAGATGGATGGATGGTCTGCCAGGAACTCACCTTCCAGAATGACAGTGATGGGGTTAGGCCGGAAGCCCTCACCACCGGGGCACAGGGTTCTGTACTCAGCTGTAAGGGAAACAGGCTCCTGTGAGGTGGAGTATTGGGGCAAAACTTAGGGGAAACAGGGGAGCAACAGCAGGAAGCCTGAAAAAGGCGCAAGAGTGGGCTCCCATCCTTCTACTGTACTAACTACATCCCCATATCTCTTTAGCCTCTTAGGACCAAGGGACTTTGGCCAGTCCTGGGGCTGCGCGCGCGTGTGTGTGTGTGTGTCTGCATGTGCGTGTGCATGCGTGTGTGTGTGTAAATGTGGATTCCCATTCAACATGTGAGCAGAGTTACATGGTAGTGGCTGGGGGCAGGAAGGAGAGAAGATGATTCCTTCTGATCCAAAACCATATCCTAGTGTAACTGCAAGTTTTCCCCATGCAAGGAAGACCCTGGACATTCACACACGCACACACCTGAGTAGGTGGACAGGTACCTCCCTGTTTCACACCTGAGGACTTTGCACATACTGTTCTCACTGCATTGCACATCATTCCCCCTACTCTGCTAGGAAAACTCCTACACATCCTTCAAAACCTCACTCACGCCTCCTCGCCTGGAAAGCCTTCCCCACAGCTTTCTCTTCCCCACAGCTTTCTCCTGAGCTATGGCTATGCCTCAAAGAAAACCCTTAGGACAGCTCTACTCTCATAGTCCTGAAACTTGGTTTAAGAGTGAGGGAGAAGCAGTGTGCAGAGGCTGTGGCTCATCCTTCTCCGAGTCCCCAGCCCCCAGCACATGACACAGAGGAACTCTCAGTGTTTGTTGACTGACTGAGTGATCAAGTGACTACAAACACAGAGAATTTACAGAAAGCAGCCTTGGAGAGAGGCCCAGCCAAGAGTACACTGTATGACCCAGGATGAGCCCCACTCCTTCCCCAGTTCTTGGTGTTCCTGTCGCCTAAGCCCCACCTCCCCTTAGCAGAGATGACCCCCTAAGCTCCCGGGTCTCGGTGGCTCAGGCCACGGTGCTCAACAGCTCCACAGGGACTCACTGGTGTTGGCCACTGGGCACAGCTCGCAGGGATTGCCCCAAGCCTGGCCCAGGGAACAACAGCAGGAAGCCCGGGTGACACCAACTCCGATCTCAGCACTGCAGGAAATGCCACCGTCCCCTCGGTCATGCGTCTCCAGGAAACAGTTCCCAGCCCGAGTGTCTGAACAGGCAGAAGGGGATGGTTAGCAGGAGTCGGGGGAAAGCCGCACGTGTGTGTGTGCATGCATGTGTCTATATCAATGGGTGACAAGGACAACCGCTCTTGCGGGAGACCAGCAGATGTCCCGTTTGTCAGGAGCAGGTAGATTTGAACACATGGACATCTGAGTTAACCCGGGGGCAATCCCACCCACCTTTGCTGACCCCAGAACCCTGATCTGGAGCTGAGCATGGACTCACCCACGCAGCCCACTCCGCTGGGGTTCAGCTCAAAATCCTGGGGGCAGCGGCAGAGGTAGCTGCCGGGGGTGTTAACGCACACGCCGTTGATGCAGTTTACTGGGTCTGCACACTCGTTAATGTCTGTGGGCAGGAGGCACGGTCCTCAGCAGGGAGCCCTGCCTTGGCCCCCCTCCCTCCTGGCTTCATTCTGGGAAGCTGCAGCCCTCACTCAAGGTCAACTTCTGGGCACCAAGGGACAATGTCACGTCCGTCCCTGGGAAGAAACCTAACGGGACAGGAACCTCCAGTCTGCCCTGTCCCCTCCAATCCCATTCCTTCTCCTGCTCTGTTCTGCTTGGCAGAGCTTTGCTCGTTGAACTCTACCTGCCCTGGGTTCCATGCAGTCAACATACGAAAACCATATCTATTTTAATTTCTTAATTTATTGATGTTTAGAGACAGGGTCTTGCTGTGTTGACCAGGCTGGAGTACAGTTGTGCAATCACGGCTTACTGCGGCCTCAGACTCCTGGGTTCAAGCAATCCTTCTGTCTCAGCCTTTGGAGTAGCTGGGACTACAGGTGTGCACCACAATGCCCAGCTAATTTTTTATTTTTACTTTTTAGAGATGGGGTCTTGCTATGTTGCTCAGGCTGGTCTCCAACTCCTGGCCTCAAGTGATCCTCCCACCTCAGCCTTCCAAAGTGCTGAGATTATGGGCATGAGCCACCACACCCAGCCAAAACCCATCTATAGAAAATACTTTCAAACCATGGGATAGCACACTCCAATCTGTAGGCCAAATCCGGTCCACCACCTATGTGTGTAAATAAAGTTTTATTGGTACAGGGGCCACATTCATTCATTTACATATTGCCTGTGGCTGCTTTTGAGCTACAATGGCAGAGTTGAATCATTATGACAGAGACTGACTGTGTGGCCTGCAAAGCCAAAAATATTTACCATCTGCCCATTTCTAAAACACACAGAGGTGGGAGACCCTTTCGGCAGCTAGGGTGGAGGGGCCACTTCAATCACTGAACTTATTCAGCTGGGGAACAGGAACGGGAAACGATGGGGACATCAGGCAAGGTGCTCCCTACACCCCCACCCCCGCCGCAAGACTCCAAGGGAGGATGCTTGAGAAGAGATCTGAGGGCAGTGAGGGAGCGAGCCATGTCCCCTGCCCCAGCTCCTGCTCTCTCCTCCCTCCTTCCAGCCCAGATGACCTCACACCTGTGCAGTTGCCGCCCCCTCGGTCCAGTTCGTAGCCACCATCGCAGATGCAGCGGAACATTCCAGGCAGGTTCTCACAGCTCCCAAAGGCACAGAGGTTCCCTTGCGCACACTCGTCCACATCTGCGGGGACCCTGGGTCAGCCTGACCCACCCAGAGTCTGCGGCAGGGACCCACCCACTCTGTCCTCTGCCCTGCCGGGCCCGGCCTCACCCTGGCAGGCCCGGTGGTCCTCAGTGGGGTCAAAGCCCATCTCACATTCGCAGCGGTACCCGCCGGGCGCATTGAGGCACTGCCCGTTATCACAGAGGTCCACGTTCTCGGCACATTCGTCTCTGTCTGAGGGGTCCCAAGATTCGGAGGACTGGAGACTGGTGGACCCGGACCCATGCAGGGTGGGTGGTGGGGAGGCCCCAGTCACTGGAACACTTCGCTGTCAGCCAGAGTCCCAGGCAAGTAGCCCTGGGGACTCCGTCCCTGACTCAGGGTGGGAGGCAAGTGACCAAAGCAGGGTCAGGGAGGGGAGAGGTGGTCTGGACTCCTGGACCCCAGAGAGGGTACCCAGTCATTCCGGATCCAGGGAGGAGAGCAGCCAGGAAGGAAGTGTCTCATGCATTTAGGGGTTCAAGGGAGCCGTGGGCAGGCAGTAGCACCCCCTGGGCCGAGGACACAGCCTCTCCAGCACCCATGGAGCGATGAGTGAGTCAGAAGGAGTCAGGAGGTTGAGTGACCATGGCGGCCACCGTGAATTCAGCCCCCGTGGCTGTCCCTCTAGGGCCCCTGCCCTCCCACCCCCTAATCTCACCTTCGCAGGAGAAGCCATCCCCGGTAAAGCCCTGGCGGCAGGTGCAGCGGTAGGAGCCAGGGACATTGAGACAGTCACCTTTTGGGCTGCACCGGTGCTCCTGGGAGACGCATTCATCCAGGTCTGCAGGAGACGGAGCCCAGGCCCCCCACCCCATGGCGTGTGCATTGTGGGGGGCAGAAGGGAGAAAGACTCTTCAATCCTCCAACCCTGACTGCCCCCCTACAGACACCCCCGCACCCCACCCTCCCACTGCCTTGCCCTTCACCTACCTCTTCTGCTTTGCCCCGATTTCCTGCCCCCAGGTACTCACCATGACATTCGAAGCCATGCCCCTCCCAGCCTGGCAGGCACCTACAGCTGAAACTCCCTGGGATGTTGAGACAGGAGGCATGACTGTCACAGTTGTGTCCTCCAACCTCGCATTCATCCACATCTAAAGGGAGAGGAGGCACAACGCCGAGACTCAGTCACAGAAGGAAAGACTCGATGCAGTAGCAGCTGAACGGGCAGGGGCTCTTCCTCTCTAGGGGAGAGCTGGTCCAGAAAGCCTCCTCCCCTCCACTGGGGGAGCTTCCATCTTTACCCAGAGCCCGAGAGGAAAACCCCCAAACCTAACAGACATGACTCTCAGCAGCCCTCAGAAATGGTCAGAAATAGCAGCATGAAAGACTTGGGGTAGATATTAAGAGTGACTGTCCGGCCAGGCACGGTGGCTCACGCCTGTAATCCCAGCGCTTTAGGAGGCTGAGGTGGGCGGATCATGAGGTCAGGAGATCAAGACCATCTTGGCTAACACGGTGAAACCCTGTCTCTACTAAAAATACAAAAATTAGCTGTGCGTGGTGATGGGCGCCTGCAGTCCCAGCTACTCAGGAGGCTGAGGCAGGAGAATAGTGTGAACCCAGGAGGCAGAGCTTGCAGTGGGCAGAGATCGCACCACCGCACTCCAGCCTGGGCAACAGAGCGAGACTCCGTCTCAAAACAAACAAACAAATGAAACAAAAACAAACAAACAAAAAAACAAGTGACTGTCCGGATGAACACGCCCCCTTTCCAAGCCAGGATTTCCCTGTCCACCAGCATTTCCAATCCAGAGTCAATTCTGCCTCACCGTTATGATCTCTGCCACGTTAAATCTGGGTGAGCTACTGTTACTAAACATTTCTTTACCACACTCCTGTTCTCGCTGACATAAATCATGTTTTAAAAGACAATTTTGGATCCACATCAATAACCTCTAAGAAGTCATGAGCTTGATGCTGTGTTGTGTAACATTTGTTTCTAATACACGTTAAAATAACCGTCTAACTGGAGTTGATAGAATTGTGTCCCCTTAAAAGGTATGTTCAAGTTCTAAACCCTGAAACCCGTGAATGTGACCTTATTCGGAAACAGGGTCTTCGTAGAAGTAACTAAGTTAAGATGAGGTCATCCGGATTAAGGTAGGCTCCGGTCCAGTGACTGGTGTTCTTCTAAGACCAGTGACTGGCTGTGTAGCCAGATGCAATGACTTACATCTGTAATCCCAGCTACTCGGGAGGCCAAGGTGGGAGGATCACTTGAGGCAAAGAGTTTGAGACCAGGTTGGGCAATGTAGTGAGAACCTGTTTCTACAAAAACACCTTTTATTCCCCTCCTCGAGGCATGGTTTCACTCTGTCACCCCAGCTGGAGTGCCGTGCAGTGGTGCAATCTAGCTCACTGCTGCTTGGATCTCCTGGTCTTAAAGCAATCCTCCAGCCTCAGCCTCCTGAGTAGCTAAGACTACAGGTGAGCGCCAGCATGCCTGGCTAATTTTTTAAATTTTTGTCTCAAACTCCTGAGCTCAAGAATCCTTCCACCTCAACCTCCCAAAGTGCTGGCATTACAGAAATGAGTCACCATGCCTGATCAACAAAAACTGTTTAAAAAATTAGCCCGGCATGGTGGCATGCACCTGTAGTCCCAGCTACTCGGGAGGCTGAGGCTGGGAGGATTGCTTGAACCCAGGAATTTAAGGCTATGAACCAGTTCATGAGCTATGATCACACCACTGCACTATAGCCTGGGCGACACAGCCAGACCTCATCTTTACAAATTAGATACTATTGGGTGCAGTGACTCGTGCCTGTAATCCCAACAAATTGGGAGGTCGAGGCAAGAGGATTACTTGAGTCCAGGAGTTCAAGACCAACCCGAGTGACATAGTAAAACACTATCTCTACAAAAAAAAAAAAAAAAAAAATTAGCTGAGTGTGATGGCACGTGTGGGAGCCTGAGATGGGAAGATCACCTGAGCCTGGAGAGGTGGAGGCTGCCGTGAGCTATGATTGCATCACTGCACTCCAGCCTGGGAGACAGAGTGAGACAGTATCTCAAAATAAATAAATAAATAATGTAAAAAATGAAAAATTTTAAAAAATAGATACACAGAGAGAAGAAGGCCTTGTGAAGATGGAGACAGAAACTTGAATGACACGTCTACAAACTGAGGAACACCAAGGAGGCATGGAACAGGTTCTCCCTCTGAGCCCCCAAGAAGGTACTAACCCTGCAGACACCTTGATTTCAGACTTCTGGTTTCCAGAACTATGATTCTAGAAGGAGAATACATTTCTTTTTAATTAAAAAACAAGTTTTGGTTTTTCTTTTTGAGATGGAGTTTTGCTCTGTGGCCCAAGCTGGAGTGCAGTGGTATGATCTCGGCTCACTACAACCTCCGCCTCCCAGATTCAAGCGATTCTCCTGCCTCAGCCTCCCAAGTAGCTGGGATTACAGGCATGCGCCACCACGCCCAGCTAATTTTGTGTTTTTAGTAGAGACGGGGTTTCACCATGTTGGCTAGGCTGGTCTCAAGCTCCTGACCTCAGGTAATCCACCCACCTCGGCCTCCCAAAGTGCTGGGATTACAGGTGTGAGCTACCCTGCCCAGACTAATTTTTAAAATTTTTAATAGAGATGGGGTTGCTGTCTCTATTAATGTTGCCATATAGCCATGTTGTGATGTATCCATGTCACCCAGGCTGGTCTCGAACCCACGGGCTCAAGCAATCCTCCCGCCTTAGCCTGTCCCAAGTGGCGTGGGTATTACGCAGATACGTGCGACCACCGTGTTCCAAGTGAGGAGAATCCAATTTATCGTTTTTTTCTTTTGCAGAGGGGTCTGCCACTCTGTTGCCCAGGCCTGGAGGTGCAGTCGTGTCTATCCTGTGGGTCCACTCGCACCCTCTGCCTCCCGGGTTTCAAACGAAGTTCTCCTGGCCTCAGCTCCCAAGCAGCTGGGATTACCATGCCTGGCTAACGTTTTGTATTTTCTTATGTAGAAGATGAAGGTTTTCACCATGTTGACCAGGCTGGTCTTGAACTCCTGACCTCAGGTGATCTGCCCACCTCGGCCTCCCAAAGTGCTGGGATTACAGGCGTGAGCCACCGCGCCCGGCCCGGAGAATCAATTTCTAAACCACCAATTGTGTGATCATTTGTTACGGCAACCACAGGGAACTAACACAGCCACTATTCAAATGTTTAAGTGTTCATCCCTGTATTGCCTCAAATTATCAGGGATTTGCCTTTCAGAAATGCTGCGGCAGACACGTGGGGCTTCCCCTCCTGAGCTGTTCAGGGGACCCCCTACCAGGCGAAAGCTTAAACATGTTGAATAGTGAACTGTTCTTATTCCTGTGTTGCCGTGAACAAATGATCACACAATTGGTGGCTTAGGGGAAATTGATTCTCCGGGCGGCACGGTGGCTCACGGCCTGTCCCCAGCAGTAGTGGGGGAGGCGAGGTTGGGGCAGATCGACCTGAGGATCAGGAGTTCAAGACCAGCCTGGTCAACATTGCGTGAAACCCGTCTTTTACTTAAAAAATACAAAAATTAGCCAGGCATGGTAATCCCAGCTGCTTGGAGCTGAGGCGGCCAGGAGAATTGTTTGAAACCCGGGGAGGCAGAGGGTGCGAGTGACCACAGGTAGCACACTGCACTCCGAGGCCTGGGCAACAGAGTGAGACCCCGTCTCAAAAGAAAAAAACATAAATTGATTTCTCGCACCTGGGCATAGTGGCTCGCACACTTGTAATCCAGCACTTTTGGGAGGCGTAAGGGCGGGAGGATTGCTTGAGCCGTGGGTTCGAGGACCAGCCTGGCGTCGCATGGATACCATACAACATGGTATATGGCACATTAATAGAGACAGCAACCCATTCTCTATTAAAATTTTAAAAATTAGTCTGGGCAGGTAGCTCCACCTGTAATCCCAGCACTTTGGAGGCCAGGAGGTGGGGTGGTACCTGAGTCAGAGCTTGATGGACCAGCCTAGCCAACATGGTGGAAAACCCCTGCTGCTGTACTAAAACACAAATTACTGCGTGTGCGCATGCCTTAATCCCACTACTTGGAACGAAGCAGGAGAACCTCGCTTGATCTGAGCGAGGGTGTAGTGAGCCGAGGACTCCCTCCTGCACTCCAGCTTGCACAGAGCAAAATCCATCTCAAAAAAGAAAAACCAAATCTGTTTTTTAATAAAAAGAGAATTATGTGCCTTAAATCATATCTAAACCAGAAGTCTGAAATCAAGTGTCTGCAGGGGTTATACCTTCTTGGGAGGGCTTGCAAGAGAACCGTGTTCGCATGCCTCGCTTGCGTGTCCTTCAGTTGTAGACGTGGTCATCAGCAGTTTCCTGCTCCATGGCTTCACAAGCCTTCTTCTCTCCTGTGTATCTATTTTTGTTAAAATTTTTCATTTTTACGTTATTTATTTTATTGTAGTTGAACTCCCGCGTGCTGCACTCTGTCTCCCAGGCTG